ACAACAAAGGTCTGTCTAGTCAAGGCTATGATTTTTCCAATAGTCATGCACGGATGTGAGTTGGACTCTAAAGAAAGCTGAGTGCTGAAGAATTGATGTTTTAGAACTGTGGTATTGGAGAAGACTCTTCAGAGTCCCTTGGACTGCAAGGAGATCCAACCAGTCAATCCTAAAGGAAATCAGTCCTGAATATACATTGGAAGGACTGATGCTGAAGCTGAAACTCCAATTCTTTGGCCACCTGATGTGAAGAACTGACTTGTTGAAAAAGACCCTGATGCTGGGAAGGATTGAAGGCGGGAGAAGGGGATGACAAAGGATGAAATGGTTGGATGGCATCACCAACTCAATGGACATGAGTTTGAGTAAACTCCAGGAGTTGGTGATGGACAGGGAGGCCTGGCGTGCTGCAGTCCATGGGGTCGCAAAGAGTTGGACATGACTGAGCAACTGAACAGAACTGAACTGAACAAAGGCTTGAGAGCTAGAAACAGCAGATCCTGGAGGCAGCTGCCTTTGGAAAGTCTGGAGAGGGGGTTGAGGGGAAGCAGAAGCAGTAGGCTTTCCACCTGGAGCTTGTCTGTGGACCCCAAGTCCAGGCTTTAGGCCATGAAGAAGCATAGCCAGGGATCTCCTCCAACATTGGAGGGGCTGGCCCTGTGTTGCTTAAGATGGTGGAAATGAAATTCATGCAAGAAACCCCTACAGGCTTTCAATGTGCTTGGCAGCTGTTAAGCTGAGCACCTGGGCCCCTCAGAAGATGCTGTTGGCAAGAGAATGCTCTGAAAGACCCAAGAAATTGTTCTTTCCTCTTCTCTTTTTTCAATTTTTACAGGAAAAAAAGCCCCTTGACTCTGGCTGATGTGAGAAAGCCCACTGAAAGCACTTGAACCAGGGAAAAAGCAATAGATAAAGGGGGAAAACACCTGAGGTCAAGCCCTAGCCTGGCTCTGATCAGCTGTGTGCTCATCACAGCATAGCCTCTTCCTGAGGAAGACTACATTTCCCAGCCTCCCTTGCAGTTGCTTGGTGCCACGTGACTGAGTTTTGGCCAATGGAGTGTGAGCAAAAGGCAGGAAATCCACTTCCAGACCTTGCCCTTTACTCTACAAGACCCTCTTGAGCTCTTTTTTCTTCCATGGTGACTTTGGGGAACCATGCGCTCCAAATAGAGTCAACTAAAACCAACAAGACTGAGACTTGGGCATAAAATACATTTGATCTGTTAATCCACAGGGCTTCCCAGGTGGCTCAGATGGTAAAGAATCTGCCTGCAATGCAGGAGTCCTGGGTTCAATCCCTGGATTGAGATGATCCCCTGGAGAAGGGCACAGCAACCCACTCCAGTATTCTTGCCTGGAAAATCCTATGGACAATGGAACTGGACTGGCTACAGTCCACAGGGTCACAAAGAGTCAGACATGACTGAAGTGACTTAGCACGCACGCACATCGTTAATCCAGTAACATTTCAGGCTTCTACTGTCCCTGCAACATTGATTCTCCAGTGGTTCTAAAAGCAAGGTCCACAGACCTGCAGCATCAACTTCACCTGAGAACTTCTTGGAAATGCAAATTCTCCAGCCCCACACTAGACCTATTGAATCAAAAAAAATTCTGTGCATGGGGCCTAGAAACTCTCTTTGGGGAATTTTTGATGCAACCAAAGTCAAGAACCACTGGTTTATTCTAATATGCTACCACGTGGCTTTCATCTTTTAAGGCTCAGTAACCCCCTCTGTCAAATGAGGGTGAGAACACCTCCCCTTACTGAGTTCAGGTGAGGGGTAAATGTTACAACATGGTGTGATGTGTATAAAGAGTCTGGCTCAGGAGCCCACGTGGTCTACCTGCAATCCAGAGCCGGGTGACTTGGGAGAGTCAGAGAAATAGTAGCTGGGAGCCCTGCCTTCAGGCACAGTAGGGGGCAGCCTCTACCATGGCCCCCGTGATCTCACCTCTCAGTATCCAAGCCCTTGAGTAGTCCCCTCCAGGGTCTGGGCTGAACCTGGTGAGTCAGATCTGATGAACAGAATGCACAAGAGCAATGCTCCTTTCAAGGCTCAAGAGGAGAACTCTGCCTCTTGCAGTGTCTGAGAGCTGCAAGCATCCCTTGGCCTGTGGCTATACAACTCATCTCTGCCTCTATCCTCACACGGCCTTCTTCTCTTCTGTCTTCCCTTCTGTTTCTTGTGAGGACAGTCGTCATGGATTTAGGGCCACCCAGGTAGCCCAGGAACTTCCCTGTTGGCTCAAGTGGTAAAGAATCCACCTGCAATGCAGGAGACTCAGTAGACACAAGTTTGATCCCTGATTGGGAGGATCTCCTGGAGAAGGAAACAGAAACCCACTCCAGCTTTCTTGCCTTGAGAACCCCATGGACAAGGGACCCTGGTGGGCCACAGTCCACAGGGTCGTAAAGAGCCAGACATGACTGAGCACACATGCAAAAGTAACCCAAGATGATCTCAAGAGCCTTAACTACATTACAAAAGCCCTCTTGTCAAACGAGCTCATGTTCCTAAGTTCTGGGATGTGGATATATCTTTCAGCGGGGAGGTCACCATTCACCCCACCACATGGCCCAAAGACAGGGATGAGTCTTGTTCAACATTATATTCCCCTAGTCTAGGCACTTCGTGCAATGCTTGACACAAATGAGAATTTGACATAAGTTTGTGAACAGAAAGGCAGCAGAGCGTTTAAGTGACTGGGCTTTAGAATCAGCTAAACCTCTATTCAAACCTCAGCCACTTACAAACGATGTGACGTTAGGCAAATTACTTAACCTCTCTGAACCTCAGTTTCCTCCTGTGAGCATTCTACTAGTATTGATCTCATGGAGTTACTATGAGCATTAAGTTAGTAAGTACAAACTACCCACACCATATGTAGCATCTAATGGGGATGCCAAATGCAGGCACAGTGCCTGGCACACAGGGATCCTCAATTAAGGCTTCTTATTCTGACTAGCATATTGATGGTTGGTGTGGCTGTGGTTCCCACTCTCACAAACCTCCCAGCCTTTCACTCTGACTACCTTGGAGGCCCCTTCTGCTCAGAGTCCCTCAGGGCACCCAGCAGCCCTTCTTGGAGGCAGCTGTGGATGAATATCTGAGCCCCAGCCTTCTACTCCCAGGCCACCTTCCCTTCCCACTGCCTGGCTGGCCTCCTCCAGGGATGCCTCCCAGAGCAGGGCTGGCAGCAAGCTTGCCTGGGCCCCTCATTGTTATTCCTGGCAGGAGGTAATCCTGCCAGCACCCTCAGAGGCCTGTAAAAATACCCGCAGTTTGTCTTTCATGGGAGCAGCTCAAAGCCTCGTGGCATTCTCCCGAAAAGACAGTGCTCCCGACTGGGTTCTAGGAGCCAGCTACTTCCCAGGATGGTCTGGTATTTGCAAGGCAGAGGGAGCGAGTATGAACTGAAATAACCCAGTCCAGGCACTGATGTAGCCAGGCTGCTAGGGAGATACAAGTCTTCGTGTATGGAGAGATTCTCCCTGGAATTTTCTGGATGTCAAAGCTCTGAGTCACACACCAGTGGGTCTGCATTCCCACTCTGCTATTGAGTAGCTGTGTGATGTTGGGCATTTTCTTAGCTTCTCTGTGCTTCAGTTTCTGCCTCTCTGAAGCAAAGTGGAGATGATATCCACTTCTAGGATTCCTGTAAGGATTAAAAGGGATAGCATAGACACAGACAGAAGAGATTTGCAGCACATATATCTGACAAAGAGCTTGTATCTAGAATCTGTTAACAACTTTTGTAATGCAATAAGACAAACAAGCCCCTTCCTCCAATGTGGGTAAGATTTAAACAGAAGATATATATGATATATACATGAAAAGATGTGAAGGTCTCTATAGTCATCAGTGAAATGCAAATCACAGTGACAAGACACAATTTCACACCCACTGGAGTGGCCAAAATGAAGAAGAATGTCAATATCAAGTGCTGGTGAAGATGTGAGGCAATTGGAACTCTTACACACTCATGGTGGGAGTGAAAAACTGATATGACCACTTGGAAAAACAGTTTGGTGGTTGCTTTTAAAGTTAAAAATACACTTAACATATGACCCAACGATTCCACTCCTAGGTATTTCCCCAAGACACACGTCTATAAAAAGGCTTGTGTGTGAAAACACACAGGAGACATTCATAACGACCAAAAAACTGAAACGAATGCCCGACAGTGGATCAAAGGATAAACGGACTATTAGATAGCAATAGAAAGAAACAGTCACCAGTATACACGGCTGAACGCCTTAAACACTACGTGGAGTCGGCGAAGGGAGACATGGGGACTTGGGCAAACCTATGACTGATTGTTGGTGTTTGGTAGAAACCAACGCACCGCTGTAAAGCAATTGCCCTTCATTTCAAAATAAATAAATGCAAGAAAATAATAATTAAAAAAGAAGAGAGACACGGAAGAGCAGAACTTCCGTAGAAAGTTCGAGAAGAGAGAAACAATCTGTGGAGGCAGAAGTCAGAGCGGTGGCTGCCTTTGTGTGTGGGTGGGGAGGGAGGGCGAGTGGAAACAGGGACAGAAAGCGTTCTGGGGTGGTAGAAACGCCCTGTATTCCTGTACTGGGGTGACGGGCGCATAGGTGTACGCATCCATCAAAACTCACCAAAATCTGTACTTCATGTTCCTTGCACTTGGCTGTGTATAAATTAAATCTCAATACAAAAGGTTAGGAAGGGACCATGCATGCTGAGAGCTCAGCAAGGGGGCCAAGGTGATAGACAGAACTCAGTACAGGTCAATGACTCTTAGAAAACAGTGAAAAAAAAAAAAAGCAAGAAGCATTTCAATTATTCAACTGTAGGTTGGGAGTTCAAATGCTAATCTGGACTCTGATCCTAGAGCCCTGTCTGAGATGTGGCAAAACCCACCAAAGAGCACTAAGTCTTTGCGCCCTCCTCCCCACTCTTCCTACCCTTCTGCTGTGGATGGAGAAGCGGGAGAGGAGTGCTTTGCTGCCTGAAGATGCCGTTCTTACGAGCGGTGGGGCGCAGGAAAGGATACCTTTGGGGGAGGGCTGGAAACAGGCTGACTAACAACAAAGCTGTGCAGAGGCCTTCGTGGGCCCAGGGCCCACACTGCTATCTGGGGTTTCAAGATGCCAGCTTGGAAACAAGACTGGCCCAGCTGCTTAGGCATCAGGCTCCTGAAGACAGGACGGAGTCCAAAGTCAGGCAACTGGCTGAGGCCCGGCTGTCCCCCAAACTCCCGTGCAATCCCAGGCCCACTCTCCCCGTGACTGGTCTCCCCTGGCAGCATCTTCCTGTGTCCCTCGCTCTCTCTGGACTCTCCATCCTCACGATGTCGTGGATGTGGCGGCCTGCACCCAGGCAAGGAGACACCGCTCCCACGCGAGCGCATCGGCCATCGTACTCTTATCTGAGGCCTCGCACTGGCTGCCTGTCTCCAGTGACCCTGCAATCTCCGGGAGTTGCTTTTGGTTAGGCCCCCAGTGGTCTTCATCTCTTAGACGTTGAGACTGACCAGGAGCTCTCCCTCCCCATCGCTCTGAGCTCCCTCCCTCTTCCAGCACTGCGCCTGAGTCGTCTCCCAGGAGCCCTGAGGGTGGCATCGAGAGCTGCGAGCCCAACGGCAGGGCCTCCCTGCCCAGCCCACGCAGTCCACCTTCCAGACCTCAGAGGCCTGACTCCAGCCTGGCGAGACACAGAGAGGCCCATATTTGCATAAAGTAGTCACCCACAGCATCTTTTAAAGAGAACACTCTTCGTTGGGGATTACAGCCACAGAAGGAGGAAAAAAACAAAACAAAAAACAAGATTTCTCCATCTTCCACTACCAAACAGGGCTGCTGGCTAGGAAACAACACATGTTGAAGATGCAAATCACATAAGGACTTAGGAAGCTTCGGGGAAGCCATCATTGTGGGAAGCGGCAAGCAGGCCCCACTCTTGGGGCCTTTATCAAAAGACTTTGTCTCTCCCTGCGGATCAGAAGTAAGAACAGACTGCCCTGAATGACTGAACCTGGCATGTGCATTTGCTGCTGTTGTTGTTTTGAAGGGAAAAGGAGCTACCATTTCATTTCCGCCCATGACTTGCTATGTACCCAGGACCACCTGCATAACTAGCAAGGCCCATCCAGTGCAAAATGAAAATGTAAATCCTCTTGTTCAAAGAGAAAAAGAAAAGCTCTTTACTTTATTCTGCGCCCTCTGTCTTAATCGGCGGTGGGGTTTTAATTTGCTGGTTCATGTTGTGTGCCCTCCAGCTCGGGATACTTGAAGGCTGGGCGCAGCTGTTCACAGATGCCTTCGGCTTTGCTCTCCCTGCTCCCGGGTCCCCATGAGAAGCAGAGGGCAGCTGCTTGGTGTGGCGAAGGCAGGGGACGAGACAGCCAGGAACCCATCTGGGGTGGTGAGAAGGTAACCAGGAGAGGGCTTCACTTATGAAGCATAAATTCAAAGATAAAATTATTAAGAATTTCAAGATGGCTATGTGCTGCTCAGATGCTCAGCCGTGTCTGACTCTTCGAGACCTCATGGACTGTAGCCCGCCAGACTCCTCTGTCCATGGTATTCTCCAGGTTAGAATACTGGAGTAGGTTGCCATGCCCTCCTTCAGGGGATCTCCCCAGCCCAGGGATCGAACCCACCTCTCTTACATATCCTGCATTGGCAAGCAGGTTCTTTACCACTAGCGCCTCTTGGGAAGTCCCAGATGGCTATGGCAGACCTTTAAACCCCAAGAGTGGACCTCCTTCATCTCTGCCAGTCATTATAGCTTAAGATTAAGACCCTGACAGCCAGCATGAAGGGAGACGTGTGCTCTTCCCCCTTTAAAAAATAAGGATCATAACAGGACCCCCTACATTCAGCTGATTTGAGAATTAGATGACCTAATAAGAATTCCTGGCTCTTATATAGCACACTATTTTATGTGCTCTACAGATAGGAACTTACTTAAGCCTCATAAAAAGCTGACGGGTAGATTGGTACCATTTACACTTTACAAAAGATGAAACTGAGACACAGCAAAGTAAAGCAACTTGCCCAAACCCACACAGCTGGTAAGCAGATAAATCTTGGCTTTAAGAGTTGCAGCCAAGATGTGAACACATCTGCAGAGCTCCAGAGTCTGGGTCAAGACTGCATAGTTCAAGGCCCCTGGAAAGTAACAATGTTACTGTTCCATTTCATGCAGTCTTCACAATGAGCCAATGAGGTGGGGTTTTATACTCATTAGGGATCATTTCAGAGTGGACACAGAACCTCAGAGAGGTAAAGACACTTACCCTAGGGCCGCAACAGGATTAACCCCAGGAGAGGAGAGGGGTGAGCTAGAGCAATGAGGAGAGACGGTGAGAGCCGGGCATCTGGCAGAAGGGACTTGCCCGGGTGCCTTGGAAGTTTGGTGTGGGTACTCTTTCCACCCCCTTCTGATGTCTATGTCAGAAGCTTTCTCTATCTCCTTTATACTTCAATGAAACTTGATTGCACAAAAGCTCTGAGTGATCCAGCCTCACCTCTGGCCCCGGATTGAATTCTTCTCCTCCGGAGGCCAAGAACTCCGGCGTCTTTGCATGATTCAGAAACAACCTTTCATCTTGGGGGCTCGTCCGGGGTCCTTCAGGATAAGACTTTGTACTTTTCAGATGGGCCTGATAATCCATGTGAGCCTACTTCTGCTGACTCCAAAAATCCTGAGTCTGCCATTTGATCCTCAAGACAATGCCTTCCTGTCCTGGGCTCACTCCTACGCTGCATTCCATAATTGGTCTAACTGCTGGGTCTGTGGACCACTCCCTTCTTCATTCGTGGAAGGCTTCCCATGGTGGACATCTCCACTTCAAGGAAAGGACTTTCTCCAAGTCTGCAAATACCTTCAACAATTGTATGTGATGCCTCTTTTTAAACTGATGACATCTAACAACCCTAAAATGGACTGATGTAACTATGGACATAATGTGACTTTTCACTTTGATGACTATTTTGCCTTACATTTGTAACTGTATAATGGGGTTTTCTAACTGTCTAAAAGCTTTTAATCTACAAAAAAAAGAAATGAAAGTTTTGGTGTGAGCTGTGGGCTCTAGATATAATTGAAAGGTTTGAGCTTGAGAGGTATAGAAGAACAGGGTATTGTAGCCTCAGAATGCTAAAACCCTAGATCATCAGGGCAGGAAAACAGTGTAAAGATCATTGAATCTGCATCCTGATTTTATGACTGGGGACAGTGAGGCTGGAAAAGAGATGCAGCTAGCCTGATGTCCCAGAGTCAGAAATCATAGTCCCAGGAGCAGATGACTTCCAGCCAGTGTTTGCCAGGTCTGTAGAGTGTCCTGAGCTCATACCAAGTGTCCCGGGTTCATAAACCCGACAAGTCAAAACTGCTCCCAAGAGGCTACTGCTTGATAACCACTGACACAGCGAAATTCTTATAGAATAAAGCCCCTTGCTACTAAATAGGCAATTTCTAGTTAGGGTTGCTTTGATCAGTTGTAAAACTTAGCTTAAAAGCCCCACTACTTTTGAAGTCAGACAGACTAGATTTGAAAGGGCTCTGCCACATGTGGCTGTGTGACATCAGGCAAATTGCTTAACCTCTCTGAGTTTCAGTGCTCTCATCAGTAATACGTCTCCAAAAGGACATCATTTTGTAGTGAACATGAATTTCTGGAACAGATTCAATGAAAAAAACACCTACAGAGTGTAAACTTGCCTAGTGTGAAAGCTGGCACATATTAGGTACTCAATAAAGGCCATCCTGAATCCATCAGAGGCCAAAGCTACATACCACGTGACAGACAAGTCTCAGGGGAGATGTCAATTCTAAAAGAACTAAAAAGTCTATGGTCACCATTTTTTTTCCAACAGCATTTGCTCACTTCTTGCCCTGCTGTCACATTTTGGTACTCATAATTCTTGCAATATTTCAAACTTCATTATTATTGTATTTGTTATGGTGATTGGTGATCAATGATCTTTGATGCTTTTATTGTAGTTGTTTGGGAATTTCATTTTTTTTGGCAGTGAGGTTGTTTTAAGATTTATTTATTTATTTATTCGTTTATTATCTCTGATGGGTCTTCGCTGCGACAAGCGGGTTTTTTCTAGTCATGGGGAACAGGGGCTACTCCCCATTGCGGTGGCCTCTCTTATTGTGGAGCACGGGCTCTAGGCACACAGGCTTCAGTAGCTGCGGCTCAAGGGCCCTAGAGCACTGGCTCAGTAGTTGTGGCACATGGGCTTAGCTGCTCCACAGCATGTGGGATCATCCCAGCCCCTTTTCCCCTGCATTGGCAGGTGGATTCTTAACCACTAGACCACTAGGGAAGCCTAGTGAGATGTTTTTGAATTAAGATATATGCATTTTGGAGGTAAAGGATACTTTTACACACTTGGTAGACTATAGTACACTGTGAGAAAAACTTTTATAAGCCCTGGGGAAAAATGAATGAATAAATAAAAGGACTGAAAAGCATCTACCAGACATCCCCATCTGCACACCTCAGGAGGGAAAACAGGCGAATTTGGAGAAGTCCACCATTCATCATGACCCAGGAGCCAAGCCTGGGAGGTCCTGGTGGATGGGAGGCGGGGAGGGGAAGTTTGAGGTGGGAGGGCAGTGTGAGAGAACCGACAGTTTTGGAGTTTCTTTTCTATTTAAGGTTTGGCTAACCCTTTGGTAAAACTCATTTCTGGTTCATGCTCTTAGCAGGAAAATACATTCACGCTAAACAGTAAGAATGGACCCTGGCTTGGAAAGTTCTCAAAGGTTCTCACATCTCTCTTGTGTTTCCTGCAACTGAGGGGTGACATGAGTTGTGACTCGATTTGAATAATTGTACGCTGACGATTTACAGGGGAAACACCCAGGGCAACTTTCTGACTGGGGATCTTATGACACGGATGGATTTAAAGAAAATCTGTATCTGTAAGTGAGGAAGACTCTCCCTGGATGCAAAGACTGGGAACACACAGTGAACAACAGGGATGCCCCAGAGCATGGACATTATCAGAAGGAGCATCTAAAAGAGAGCGGCACAGGGTCATAAGTACCAGGTAGAGAAAAAGTAAAATGTGTTGCAAGTATGTAACTAGAGCTGGGGGCTGGGAGTTCAGACGAAGTCTTCCAAAAGGTAACATTTCAGGCAAGAAGCAAAGGCTGTGGATGAGCTTCCCAGGACTGTTATCACAAAGTATCATGCACTGGGTGGCTTAAAACAACAGAAATAAACTCTCAGTTTTGGAGGTGAGAAGTCTAAAATTAAGGGTACACTCACTCTAAAACCTGTGGGGTAAGATCCTTCCTAAGACTTCCCTGGTGGCTCAGCGGTAAAGAATCCACCTGCAATGCAGGAGACGCGGGTTCGATCCCTGGGTCAGGAAGATCCCCTGGGGG